AAAATGAATCTTATTTAGTCTGTTTTTTAGCCTAAAGTTTGATTAGCCATACAAATAACTTTCAATTATATTAGTAGAGGGGATGACATCACGAAGCTTCTAAATTTGTACATAATCCTAGTAGCTTCCTTCTCTTTAAAAATACTTATTTTTGTTATCTTTTATCTTCTCTCCCCTCCACTGAACAATTTTTAAAAGTTAAAAAAATACAACAAAACACAGATGATTCAGGGAGACAAATTTCCACATTAGCCTTGTCCAAAAATATATAATTTCATTCTGGATTTTAAGTCTGTCACCTCTCTGATAGGAGGTGAATGGTGTGAATCATCTTTTATCAGTTTGGCCATTGATAAACAGATTCTCTCTGGTTCTAGTTGTTTTTAAAGATCAAGGTTTGTTTTCTCCCTGTTGTTATACTATGAATTTCACTGATTCTAGCAGGGAAATGAATTAATATTTTTAAGGTCTAACTGAAAAGTTGGTTTAAAAGGAACTAGAAATTGACAAAATTGCCTTCTTATCTTCAGTATCAACATATTTACTTCATTAAGTTGAGGCTAAAATTGTGGAATTTTATTTGCATAGAATAACTTTTAATTTACTGTAATAAATTATATTTATGTTCTAATGCTTTTCTTCGAAGAAATTCCAAGTACTTTACAGGTGTGATCTGATCAGTTTTCACATCTCTGAGAGTAGAAAGAGGTAGGTATCTCTGGATTCATTCTACAGAAGAATTTGAGGCTAGAGAAGTTGAGGCTTGCTAAAGTTGATGCATTGAATTATTTGTAGATTTTATGTGTTTCCTCACTCCCAATCCCAGAATTTAAGAAATTTTATATGTCAGCACATTAAAAGTTAAACTTGTTTAGTTTAGAGTTGGAAAAAATAATAATTATTAAATGAAATATTATGAAAAATATTTGGATTAAATAACATTAATATGTCTATTATAAGAATAAGAATAAATATTTTGACGTTCTGGTAAAATATAAGAAATTTTAGTTTTAAGAGGAGTGAAAGAAAAAAGACTAGATGGCTTAGTAATGTTTACTCAGATGTTCACATTTTTCTAATGAAGTTATAATTTCCTATTGTCTGATAATGGCAATATGAATAACCAGGGATATAAGATTTTGTTGTGCAGTCACTTCTGAGTCTTAATGACCCTGTTGACCATATTGTCCAGGGGGTTTTCTTGGCAGAGATGCTGGAATGGTTTGCTATTTCTTTCTCCAGTGGATTAAGGCAAAAAGAGGTCAAGTGACTTGTTCAGGGTCACACAGCTAATAAGTATCTGAGGCCTGTTTTCAATTCAAGTCTTCTTGACTCCAGGCCCAGTACTTTATCCATTGAGCCACTAATAAACCCTATTTTAGCCAATGATTTACCAGAATGCTACTTTTGAGATCTCAGGGTAGAAACAAGAAAATACAAGAAAAAATGTGAAAGCGAAGAGGTTAGAAAGACTTCTATCTGATTGTCTACTTTTGGTAATAAGAAACCCTTAAGGATGGGAGGGGTTGGGTGAGGAACCTATGCTGTATCTTTATTATGAGAAGGACCTTTTTGTGCAGAAACTTCCTCTGACATGTAGAACCAGTGTTGGCTTGGGTATTGAGAAGATAGAATATTATTTAATCATTAAGCATTTAGTAAGTGATGGTGCCAGGCATTGTGCGAGGTGCTAGAGATACAGAGAAAAAAAATGAAATAATCCCTGCCCTTAAAATGCTTACATTCTGTCATTTGGTGGTTGAGCCGAGCTTTTAAAGAAACAGTATGCATACTTATAAATATATGTATACATACAAAATAAATGTGAAAGAACTTTCGGATGCAGGCACTAGCCTTTGAAAGAAAGAAACTAGGGGATTATGGAAGTTCTGAGAGGCATAGGTTAAGAAGGTATGTCTTCTAGGCATGAGTGACATCAGTATAAAACCTGGGGGATGAGAGATGGACTCTCCTGAGTGAGGAACAGCATAGACACTGTCTGTATAGGTAAAGGAGAGTGATGTATAATAAGCCTGAGAGGATTTGAAATGTCACAGGAGTTTAGGGAGCTACTGAAGTTTCCTGAGTGTGGTCCGGAATATTCTCTTGGCCCTTGTATGGAAGATGAATTGGAGAGGGTTAGGGAGAGGGATAAGGAGGCTATTACAGTAGTCCTAGAAGAAGTGATGGGGGGGTTGCCTTAACAAGGGTGTTTCTGCTGTGAGTGGAGAGGAGACTGCTGATGAACAGTGTTGTAGAGGTAGAATTAGGAAAAGACTTGGCCACTAGTCTGCTAGTGTATTGCAAACAGTTTTTGAGTATTTGCGTATATGCATGAGACTGTTACAAACATAAATATATACATAGATACAGCCATTTGTGTATACATATAGAAATGTGTACATATTATGTCTGAGGCAGCATTTTCCAATGCCCAGGTCTTCCTGACACAGCACCATCCGTACATGTACTGCACTGTGTTGCCTTTCAGGAGAGTCACAGGATGAAGATGGGTCAAAGTTGTTGGCCTTCCGTAAGTTAAGAAGCAGGGATGTGTAGTAGAAAGAGCACCAGTACTTGGGGTCAGAAGACTTGGCTTTCAATGACAGCCGCTGGTATATGATGTCAAACAAGACAATCAGCCTCAGACTCAACTAAATCATTGTAATAGTTGTATTTCTTATCTCCAATTATGAAGAAAGTGCTTTGTAAACATTAAAGCACTAAAAAATGTGAGTTATTAATTTGTGGTAATAATAATACAGCCCTTCTCCTTAGACATAGATGAAAATCTAGAGAAGCATATCCATGTGCTAAATGTTCATTTTAGATTCACAGGGCCTGGATTGGGGCTGATGCTTTAAACAAATGAACAAAAGAAAAAACCCTACAGCATTTCATTTCAGATTATGCTTTTTGTTTCTTAAGTGGAGAATTGTGGAAGGGAAGAGTCTGTTATAAGGCAGTGAGGTGTCACAGTGGATAAAGTGTAACTTGGAGTCAGGAAGACTCAATTAAAATGCTGCCTCAAACAGGGCAAGCCACTTAGATTCTTTCAGCCTTAGTTTCCTCATCTGTAAAATAGTTATAATCATAGCACTTAAAATATTTGTACGACACTGCAAAACTTCAAGTGCTGTATAATGTTAGCTGTTATTAGCTCTTATTATAATAAAAAGAATTCAGAAATACTGCCTTTGCTCCCAGAAGAAAGTGCCATTCAGGTAATACTATGTTTAGTTTTAAAAATTTAGGAGGAGAAGCAGTTTTGAGGTTGTCTCTGTGGTCATCAGTGTCCTCAGACAGACCACTCTTCAGCAGTGAGCTGCTTGATCAGACAGATGGACTCTCTCAGAATGTTTGTTAGAGCAGTGTGCAGATCAGCTGTAGAAGACCTCACTTCATGACAAGGAGATAGATGATGAGGAATGAGAAAAGCTTTTCTTTCTGCTACTTGTGCGACAACTCATTTAAAAGTGGAGTATTTCAGACAGAAATGTCATCCGTCTTTAAAATAATAAATTCATTTGGCAGGAAAAATAGTACGACTATACTGAATTGTTACAATGTATTGTTTACTAGAAACCTGGTTCAATATTGGTAAATACAGAGTAGCAGAAACTGAACTGTTGTGTGCTATCTGGGCATCAATCCAAGATATCATTAAAAATACTGCCACAGACTAATTTGGGTTTTTGAATAATATTCTGTTAACAGCTCAACTGAAATTAAATCATATGGAGCAGTTTAGAAATGAAGAGTTCACATGATAATGGGAATTGTATGTGTATAGGCAGAATAATTGATATTCTTTGCATGTGGTATGGAGTATATATATCTATATATGAGTGTGAATGCATATATAGATCATATATCTAGGGGTATATGTATATATAGGTGTGTATATATATAATATTTAATTTTCAAACTAAAATTCTGAATGCTTTAGTGAAAGTCTCCTATCTCTAGATCTTTTTAATACTATTTTTGTTATATTTTTATGTGCCTCATAAAATTCAATAATTTCTGTTAGTGTCAAAGTTAGAGACTGATGGAAGATTGCTGAACAAATATAAAAATGGTTATAATATTAGTGAGAAATAAGATTTTTGGCATGCACATATATAAACAGTTAAGGTTTATATTAACAGGCAGAAAAAAATTGGAGGAGATAAAGTTGCTTGAAAGTTTCCATGAAATAATCACATTCATATGCAAATGAATGATTTATAAAGAAGACTTCCTGGAATATAGGAAAGGGAATTCATATTATTGGTCATAGACTTATAATTATAAAATTATGCTGTGTAAGCTAGGACAAAGGGAGTGAGCTAACAGAGAACAAACCTGAATTGTGATCATGACCTTTCTTGCTCACAGGCACAGTTTTGCCTTTTTTCTTCACATGTTATCTTAATTGTAAGAAGTTTCTGAATATTCATGAATGTATATGAATCTTTTATTACAAATATGAATGTATAATGGATACATCTATTTGTGTATACATATAGAAACATGTATATTTGCATATCCATATGTTTTTATGTATGTACTCAGAAACGTGAATATATGTGTGATTTTATTAGTAGGAAAGTTGTCCTCTTTAGGAAGAAAACTCCTGATTATGATTGGTACCTACTCTGCAACTTACATGCTTGGAGAGTTGCCTGGTGCTCTCAGAGGTTGTGACTGGTTCAGGGTCACCCAGCTAGTGTATGTCAGAAGCTAAACTTGAACCCTCTTCTTCTCGTCTCCAAAGCCAACTCTTTAGACCCTACTCAAAGCTGCTTCTTGTGTGTGTGTACGTACACACACACACACACACACACACACAAATATAGAGAAAAATGGAAACATAAATGCCTCCATAAAGCATGGAAAAGGATGTTTCTCTTGCATTTCATAATGAAATTATTTTAGAAGGAAAAAGAATATGTCTTCTTTGCGTTTGAATTTTAAAAAGCTTTCTCAATTGTTAATATATTTTATTCATTTTCTAGGTTAGCACTCTATGTATATGAATATCTGCTCCATGTAGGAGCTCAGAAATCTGCTCAGACATTTTTATCAGAGGTATGTTTTGTATCTTTTTTGGCTTATAATTTTTCTAGATTGCATAAATAAATGAATGCCTGTTTTAAAATAAGCAATTTTATATAATTTATTTGTGTATTTGCGCTTGCATGTTATATAGTGAACTGTGTTATTGGCATGTATTTACTTTGTGGATTATCTGTGTAAGCAATTTTTTAAAATCCCAGACTACTCACTCAGCGTACTTTTAGTCTACATTTCCCTCCTTGAGGTTGGGGCTTCCTTAAGAAATGCAAAGCAATATTAATATTATCTTAAGCAAAATACAACCTAGAAGGCAACTGTGTTGCTTTAAAATAATCTTACGTATTCCTGAACCACAAATTATTTGGGTAATAACTATTATTTTAGAATATTTGTTCTGTCCATTAATATGGCTATAGCACAGAATAGATTCCTTTCTCATATTTTAGTTAGGAAATATTTCAGTTATCACCTTTTGAGCCTTTCTCTTTTCCTTACCTATACCTATTTGACTAGCTCTTAATTTGAGCTTTTTTTCCACAATGGTTCTATTTTTTCTAATTCTCGTACCGATTCTGATGCCTTCCAGACTGTTAGAGGAGAAGAGTTCGGGGTTTTTTTTTTTTGTTTGTTTGTTTTTGTTTTTGTTTTTGTTTTTGGTTCAGGGTTGTTACTAGTCTTGCTTTTACTTGGACCACTCCAGGAACTCTTTCGGAATTCCAGAGCAAGTTTTGCCTCTTCAGGGCATGACTTGGGATTGCTGGAATCCAACCTTCTTCTGCCCAAGGTATAATTACCTTTGTAGGTTTTTTTTCCCTAAACCAAGATAACCCCTTTTTATTCCTTAAATTTTGCAATATTTCCACACCTATATTTGATACTACAAAAGTAATATTCTTCAAATGAACAAGATGTAATGTAGAACCATAGAGCTTTATGGATAATTCATTCCAACACCCTCATTTCACCAGTGTTGGAACATGTTGTCTCCTGTTCCTTAAGGGCAGAAATTGTTTCACTTTGTTTTTGTATCCCCATCTTTTAGCACATGCTTACTGATTGATTAACTAGTTGTCCTCATGCTGCCTTTTCATATCCCAAGACTGAGTGCCAGCATTTTCCCTGTGCTTCTGCCACAAGTCACCCTCAACTGCTGCTGGAGGTGGAATGGGGAGACAAAGGGAGAAATCCCTTGACTTCTGCTCCCTAACTCCTTAGTGCTCTGGAAGAAAGGTTCAAGGGAAATTGTGAAAAAGTAAGCAAGCAAAAGGCCAAGAGTAGTCTCCCATTCTGTCTCACTCGCATTCACAGCTCAAGTTGATTGGGGAATCCCCCTAATCAGGCCTCTTTTCCATGTACATATGCATATGTTACTCACTGTATATGCACACCTAAATCTCAACACCTCCCACTTAATGAATGCCTGATATGGAATGGCCACCCTATCTGGTTGCCTGTGTTCCTAAAGGAACATTTTTGAAATTTCTCTACCTTTCTGTTTCACCTTCTCCCTTGGCTGTTGCCAATACCATTTCTGCCAGGAATTGCCACCAACTCTTACCTCCAGTCCCTAGTTTTAACTTCTTCCAGGGACTGATTTAGGACATCCTGTGTGATGATTGTATCAGTGGAAAAGCGCAAAGAGGAGTAAGTAAAATGGGCAAATAAAGCGAAGGAAGGGAAGTTATCCCCTTGTGACCATTTCCCCCTACATTTATAGCTGTTGTTCTTTCCCACCCCATCACTGAACTACCTTTTGCATTCTCCTCTCATTTTTTTTATGAACTTAGCAAATGTCAACAAACATGAACATTCCAGTGTACAGAGAACAGAAAAGAGAATCATATATTAAGCTGTAGATTTCTATTTAGTTTTGTTATTTCTGTTCAGTTTTTAAAGCTGTACATTAAATTTAACATGATAATAACATCCTTATTGTATGTGTCCCCTCTTGAACTTCTTTCTGCTTTCTTTGTTTTTTGTTTCGTTGATAGTTTTATTTCTCTTCTTTTATTTGAGTCACTCTTACTACCCATCAGCTCTCCAGCCCCAGTAGAAAGAAGCTCTCCCTTATAATCAGTCAGGCAAGCAAAACAAATCAATACATTGTCCGTGCACGAAAATGTATGTCTCCTTCCACACCTCTATTGATGTGTCACCGTTATGTCCAGAGATGGGGAGCATTCTTCATCATGTCTTCCAGAGTCATGATTGATCACTACATTGATCAGAATTCTTTCCAACCTGTTTTTCTCTACCTAGTTGTATAAATCATTCTAGTTCTACTCCCTTTACTCTGCCTCAGTTCATACTGGGCTTCTCAGGTTTCTTTGAATCTAATTCTTCTGCCATTTCTTGGAGAGTAAAAATATAATTACATCAAAATCCTATACTTTTGTTTTTAGCCATTTGCCAGTTAATGGATACTCACTTCATTTACAGTTTGTTGCTACATAAAAAAAATTTTCTTACAAATATTTTTCTTTGTATAAGTCCCTTTCCTTTGTCTTTGATCTCTTTGGAGTATTGTCTAGTAGTAGGATAACAGAGTCAGAAAGTATGTACAACATAACACTCACCTCATTTCCAACTTTCTGCACTAACTCCTACCTCAGCTCTTGTTACAAAATGCCCATTATAGGCTAAGTCTGGGATTTCTTCCAAAATATAGATGAATCTTACATTAGGCTTTTGTGCACCCAAACATTCATCATTATTGCTTCTGTGTGCTTTTGTTGTTTTTTTTTTTCCTGTGGAACTTAAGTAGAGAAAAATTTTTTAAAAAGTTTGAGGGGAATTGTCAGGTAGATAGAAGAGAGCCTTTTAACCCCTACCACTTTCCCCATTACTTCAAAAAGTTAGAGTCTTAAATCTCAAAAGAGCCATGTACTTACTTCAGTGCCAGGAAAGGAGAAGCTGTGAGATTGTTATGTTTTCCATTGGGTGGGAAAAATACTAATTGAGGAATATGGGTAGTAGTGATGGACAGTTAAGAAGGCAGGCCAGTCCTTGCCCTTAGGAAGAGAAGAAAGGTAGCCAGGTGTGAATGACTCACAGAGGCCACCTAAGCAAACCTGTACCTGCCCAGCCGCCCATGTTACCACATCCCAGACAACTGGTTGTCCTGATTCTACATGAAGTCTATTCATCTCAGCTAAACGTTTTTTTTTTCCTTCAATTGTTCTTCATATGACAGTTTCTTGTTTTCTCTCCATTCTGGTCTACTTTTTCTAAGTACATTACATTTTATCAGGCTTGCTCATAGAATGTTACTCCAAAGTAAATACAGAACTCTTTGTATAGTATGATCAGAGTATATCCCTTGTTCTAAGACCTTGATAGATCTGCAAGCTTATCACTATGGATACTCCTTCTAGTGATTCCAGCAGCAACTCTATCTGAATGCCTGCCCATCTTATACTAGAATCTATATTTCTATTAGTGCAGCACAAGAACAATTTTGTTTGTTTGTTATTGGCTGCCACATTGCATTGCTAACTCATGGTGGGTTGGGAGAACAATAGAGTCCCAAGATCCTTTGCTCATAAGCTCCTGTCATGACTATATCTCATTCATTCTGTATTTCTGTCTTCTGGGTGTTTATACTATTAAGCAAGGCCCAGATCCTAACAACTCCTTATACCCTTTCTTGGTATTCCTATCTCTACCTTTCAGTTTACAACTTTGAGAGGTGATAGGGAGCCACTGAAGTTTATTGGTTAGGGGAGTGACATGGTCAGACCTTTAGGAAAATCACTTTAACACTTGAGTGAAGGATGGATTTGAGTGGGAGTCTTGAGGCAGGAAGACCTATAAGAAAGCTATTGTAATAGTCCAGATGAATGGTGATGAGGGCTTGATGAACTATGGTGGTGACCGTGAGTGGAGAAAAGGGACATAATATAGACATAATATATAAGAGGAGTTGTAAAACAGTGGTGTCAGACTCAAATAGAAATGGATCCCTGTAGGCCACATTTTGACTTAGAAAAACAAATTAACATTACCTATGTTGTATTGTATTTTATTTATTTTGTTAAACGTTTTCCAGTTACACTTTAATCTGGTTTCAGGCTATACTACAGAGTTCTGCAGGCCATGAGTTTGACACTTCTGTTGTGTAAGTAGAGAAATGGCAAAATTCGAACTTTTAGTAAGTATATTTATAAGCTAGAAAGTGACCTAGATGGAGAAGTCTTGAGATTATACCGTAGGAACATAATTTGAAGGTACCAGAAATATTTAGGCTAGAGAAGAGATGATTTGGTAGGGAGGAGCGGAGGGGTAGGGGGCAAAGAAGGATGGCTGTGAGTCCTTTCTTAAAGTGGTTGAAGGGCTGTGGGATTCAAGAATGATTAGACTTCCTTGGTTTTGCCAGAGGGCTAAACTTGGAGCATTGGATGGAAGTTAGAGAGATGCCATTCCACTCTATGAAAGTAAGAACTTCCTAACTATGAGAGCTTTGTAAAAGTGAAAAGCCTGGCCTCTGGGGGTGTTGGGTTCACCCTCCTTTGTTGTCTTCAAAGAAAAACTCTACAACAACTTGTTGTTTACATCCTAGGGGACATTCTTAGTCTGGGGGGTGGCTCTAGATTGCCTCTGAAATTCCTTCCAAAAATCATATTCTATTATTTAATTCTATTATTCAATAAATACATGAAAAAATATTTTGAAAAATCAAAAGTCTTATGCTGCTGCTGCTGAAAATTATCATTATTGTTAAAGACTTTTGTGAGACCCTTTTTTTTAATTTTAATCAACGGAAAAGTGAGTTGCTTCTAAATAAATAGATAAATCAGATAAACAAACAAATAAATATATGAGCAAATACTGGTGGAGAGAGAATCCTCACTAATAGTTCCCAATTCCATTGCAGATTCTTACCTTTTCTGCAATTCATGGTCTTTTGTTGGGAAGGGTGGGGCAGCCTTCTACATCTCTCATCCAGCCAGGCTGGAAGAGCAGTGGCCATTCATGGCCAGAACCCAGTACTGATCTGCACAGAGGGTTTAACCTATTTAGTTTTTCTGACCTGACCCGTTTGCCTCTCATTAGGCAGTGCATTTCCCTCACCCCTCACCCACGCCCCCCAACCCTGAAACTTGTCGTATTTGGAACTTATTATGGACACTTAGCTATGGCTAGCTCAGAAGTCCTGAACTCCAAGGACCCACCAACTTCAGCCTCAGCCTCCCCCACTGCAAGGGAACATAGGCTTGTAGTACCATGTCTGGCAGTAATTTATAGTCTTGGAGAGTTGACCAGGGCACTGAGAGGTTAACTTACTTAGCTGTGGTCACAAAGCCAGAGGCTGTCAGAGACAGTTCTTGAACACAGGCTTTGCTAACTCCGAGGTTTCTCCATCCATTACCCCAGAATCTAATACCAGAAAAATGGCAAGATTGAAAAAGATATAAGAGTGATAAAGGAATTTGTTTTAACACTGAGTTTTTGCCATTGAACGAGATGTAGCCCATACCACAGTTTAAGTATAACTTGTCCTTTTTATTCTTTAAAAATCATTGAACAGAATCACTTTAGCTGCTTTATCTAATTTTTGTGTAATAGTTATAAATTTCTTTGAAAAGCTATATATTGATTAGTTTAAAAATTTAGGTAGAGGTTGTGAATGTAGGCAGATTATTGATGGGATTAGCTTTAGAAAATTAAAGCTTGACATTTTTACATTTTTATAACATACATTAATTGGCCATTGTCCATATTTATTATGATTAATACAAGCCTTTTTAGTTGTTTCAGTTAATTTCCTTCAAATTAAGTTTAGTAATTCCCTAGATTTCCTCTTCTCTTTTAAAAAAATGCTTATCACATGTACACCTTCCCGATCTTCATAGATAATTTTGGTTTATAACAGCAAATTACATATCTTCATCAGCATCCCCACTGTTTTGCGTTTTATTTACTTCACAACCTTGAAAAATCCCACCAGTTTCTGGGCAATTTAATGGCACTTAAGTTTTTCAATCTATTCCCTAACTTCTTCCTTAAAGACTTCAATCTTAGTTAAGGCCACCCTCTGAGTTCCTGTTAGTTTTTTTTTTTTTAAGGGCCCTTGGGATAGGAATTTCCCCATCTCTGCAGTAATGACTGATGGAAGGAATTTGTTCAATTTCTCTGTAATCTACAGTAATGATCCTCTTTAATTGCCTTCTACCTCTTGGTGGTCTCAAGGATCTGTGGGCACATTCTCCTTCTTGTATTTGACTAATTTTTAATAATTTAATCTTTAAAGTTAAGGCAAAAACTGAGTCTTACTACATTTGGTTTTTAAGTAATATTTTACCATTTAACATTGACATAGGGTAAAATTGTAGTGTGGTTAATAGGTCTTGGGTAAAATCATTAATTTTAAGAAATGCTTACCTAGGTCTGAAACTTTAAATCCAATTTTTTGGGCAATCAAAATAAAAGTTCAAATATTGTCCCTCACATAAAACATTTATGAGAAGGAAACAAGTAGTAAGTAAAATGAATAAATTGTTACTAGGCTTAAAAAAAGGGCAAGTTTCATTCAAACATTCTTGAAATCAGTCTGAAATTAGGCAAAAAGAGTGACTGAAATGTCCATACCCCAAGGAGGTAAATGGCAGAAAGAAAGGCACTATTCTCACAGAAGTATTTATAGCAGTACTTTTTATAGTGGCAAAGAACTAGAACCTTTGAATTGGAGAATGGCTAAGCTACTTGTGCTACAAGAATATGAATGTCAGAAATCATAAATATGATGAAGCTGAGAAGCTTGGGCAGGGATACAAGAACAGATGCAAAGTAAAGTAAGCAAAACCATGAAAACGATTTCACACGATGATTATAGCAATAGAAATGGAAAGAACAAGAGCAAAGCAATTGAAACTGAATTCTGTGAAATGACCAAGCTTGACTTCCTAGGACATAGAACACCGTCCCTCCCCGCCCCATTTTTTCAGAAATGAGGAGCTATGGATGTGGATGTGGAACACTACATATAAAGTCAGACCTTTTCAATATGGTAGTTGGTGTTGGTGTCCTTTTTTGTCCTCCTTAAAATCTTCATTATTAGGAATGGCTTTCTAGGAGGAACATATTGGGGAATGTTAGAGGATCTAAAAACAAAAGATATAAATGAAAATTTATTTTTGAAAAAAAAGTTTTCAGGGTATAATCATAGATTCATAAATTTAGAGCTAGAAGGAACTTATTTGTTATAGGATCCATATAGATTTAGTCCATTCTCCTATAGCTTTTATGTCAAGGGCATTTTACAATGAATTTCATAATCAATAAGCATTTTATTAATTACTTACTGTGTTCCCAGTACTGTGCTAAGTGCTGGGGGTACAGAGAAAAAAGCAAAAATAGTCCATGCCCTAAAGAAAATTAAATTCACTGGGGGAGACATTTGGGTATATACAGAATATGTACAAGGAAGACAGAAGGTAACTTTAGAGAAAAAGTACTTTCAGCTTGCTGATCGACCATATAGCAAATATAAGGTAACTGAAATCGCTCAGTTAAGCAGACTTTTCCATTCCTCTGCGATTTTGATAAATAGAAACTGTATGTCACTGATGGTTTTCTTCTTAAAATGTCATTTATATTACAATTTTGGGCCCTTTTCTTCATTTATATCAGGGAACTGTCACGCCCCAGCAGAAATAGATGTAATATTCCCCAAATTTCACCTATAATTTCTTTTTCATCTAAATATGACTAGTCAAGAGGGGAACGTCAGTTACTTTTGGAAGATATGACCAACAGACAACTAGCTACTTGAAATCCAGTCATTACCACGTCTAGTATGAGTCAGTTGCCTCACATTATATACGACTATTATGAACTCTATAATTTTTCTCTGTGTGGGTGTTGGGAAGGGTCTCGACCTGTAGATCATGTGAGTGGAAGAAACTCTCAGTATGAAAACTCCCTCCACTGATATAGATCGGCAACTCTTATAGGGTTACTTTTGGGGAACTGAGAGGCTGAATTTGTCCATGGTCACACAGATATTAAGTACCCTAAGCCAGAACTTAAATCTCAGTCTTCCTAACTCTTAACTTTTTAACTGCATTCATTATGTCATACTTCCCATCTTCTCTGGATTATTCTAGAAACTGAGGCTCAGAGAGATAAAGGCATGTCAGTGGTCACAGAATGCCAAATGTGGGATTCAAACCCAGATTTTATCTGACTTCAAGTCCAGTACTTGTTCCACTAAGCAACAATTTAATTTCTCCCAGTCTCAGATTCTTCATCTGTGAAACAGGAATGTGAATTTCTGTGCTACTTACTTCAGAGGTTGCTTTGACATAATGGATAGAGAGCTGACTTTGGAATTGGGAAGATTTGGGTTCATTCTGAGACACATACTGGTTTTGCAACTTCAGGCAAACCTAAACTTTTTTGTAATAGGCAACTCTGTAAGTTACAGAGTGTGCCAGACTTAAACTAGGGGAAGACATGTCCTCACCTGAGATTTCTATATGTAATGAAATTGCAGGTTCAGTCCCTATCCCTGTTACTTATGCTACTTCATAGGACTACTGTGAGGATCAAATGAAATGATTTTTTAAATGCTATGCTATATAAATGATAGCTGCAGTTAATACTATTTTCTATCTCTAATTTTTTATTGGTGACCCACTAATCTATGTTAAATAACAGTACTCACCAACTTAAATTTCTAAATCAAAAAGGAAAAAATAATATCCATATATGTTACTTTTATTTGAGAATTTCAGCTATCTACTCAAGAGAACTTTTAGAGCTAGCATACAGATACCAGGCCAAATCAAGCCAAACACACTAATATGATGGATCTCATTATAAGATGCTAGGACTATTCACTGTTTTTAGTTAAAAACACTTATCTAATTATGCCATGACGAGGGCAAACTGGTATCCAAAAACAAATGGGTAATCTAACTAGCAGAATGGTTTACATTCATCACTACTGTAGTACCCAGGAAATTAAGAAACTAACATGGCATATTTACAAATACTTTAATTTTACCATGTGTTACCATGCTATATTTATACGGATGGAAGTAATGTAATGATTTTTTTGAGACATCAAATTCTGTGAAAAGAAATGACTTTTGAAATGATTGTTGCTTGTATTATAACTTTTACAATAAATGTTAAATTTCAAGGTTTTTTTCCCCTTCAGTATACAGGAATCAACAACCACTTAAATATATATTTATAAATGCTGAATAAATAATAATAGGAAATAACAAAAGTCTATATATTAAGATCTTAAAGAGGGAAGTTACTGCTTTATTGTATGTGTGAAGAAATTTTATGTATACAGCATTTGGGGAAAATTTTAATATTTTTTTAAATCTGTTTCAGATAAGATGGGAAAAAAACATCACATTGGGGGAACCGCCAGGCTTCTTGCATTCTTGGTGGTGGTAAGTGTATCTTTTTATTCCAATTAAACTAGATTTATAATGTATTCCAATGGCCAGTATATACACAGGAGTACGTAATGACCAACAATGCAATTTTGTCATTGTATATAATTTCTACACTTTTGTCTTTCGTTTTCGAAGAGCATTCCAATTTTCTAATTTTTTCCCATATCCCTCCAAAAAAAATTTTAAGAAAAACAAACCAAAACTCTTGTAACAAAGATGCACACTCAAGTAAAACAAGTTCCTGCATTAGCTGTGTGTAGAAATGTATCTCATTCTTTACCTTGGGTCCATCACTTCTATTTTAGGAGGTAGGTAATTTGCTTCATTATTGATCCTCTGGAATTGTAGTTGGTCATTGCACTGATCACAGTTTTTAAGTCTTTGAAAATTATGTCTCTGCAATGCTGTGTTATCATATAAATTGTTTTCTTAGTTCTGTTCACGTGACTCTGTATCAGTTCATATAAGTCTTGTGTTTTTCTGAAACTATCCCTTTCGTTTTAGTATTATTCTATTACATTAATATACCGTAATTTGTCCAGTCATTCCTCAATTGATGGGAACTCCATTACTTTCCAGCTGCTATAAAAATATTTATACAAGTGGTTTCCTTTCTTTGATCTTTTTGGGATATAGTCTGATAATAGAATATTTGGGTCAAAGGGTATGCACAGTTGAGTGATTTTTGGGCCATGGTTCTATATTAGCTTCCAGAATAGCTGTGACAGTTCCCAACTCCAGTGACTGTACATTAGTCTTCTGTTTTCTACCAGGCCTCTAGCAACTGTAATTTTTCTTTTTTTTAATCTTTAACAATCTGATAGATGTGAGGTAGAAATGCAAAATTGATTTAGTTGGCATTTTTTGAATTATTGGTGATTGGGAATATTTTTTCCTATGTTTGATGATAATTTGTATTTCTTCCTTTGAAAACTGCCTGTTAATATCCTTTAGCCATTTATTTATTGAGGAATGGAGCATCTTCTTATAAATTTGAATCACTTCCTTTTATGTCCTGGATATGAGACCTTTATCACAGAAATTTGTTGCAAAGATATTTTTCTTTTATGTTTTCCTCCCCTAAATTTAATTGCATTAGTTTTGTTTATGCTAAAACTTTTAATTTTTTGTATTTAAAATTATCCATGTTATCTTCTGTGGTGCTCTCTATCCCGTTTTATGACCTTGAATTCATCCCCTTTCCATAGATCTGAAAGGTAATTTCTTTCATGTTCATCTGTTCTGCTTATGATATGTCCTTTTCTATCCAGTTCATGTATCCACTTGTTGCTTATCTTGGTATATGACCTTTTCTTTCTATCTCATATATCCACTTGGAGTTTATCTTGGTATATGATGTGAAGTGTTGGTCTAAATCTAATTTCAGCCAGACTGCTTTCTAGTTTTCCCAGCAATTTTTGTTAAACAGTAAGTCCTTACCCCAGCAGCTGGGTTCCTGAGTTTTATCAAATACTAAACTACTAGGTCATTTGCTTTGGTATGCTTTTATCTAATCTGTTCTACTGATTGATCCTGCTATTTTGTAACCAGTGCCAAAGAATTTTGATAATTACTGCTTTGTAGTGAAGTTTGAAATCTGGTACTGCTAGGGCTCCCTCTTTCCCCTTTTTTTTTAACTTTATTTCTTTTAAGAGTGTTGACCTTTTGTTCCTCCATATCAAGAGTTCTTGAACTGGAATATGTGAGTTTGTCATTTTAATATTTTGATAAGTACATTTCAATATAATTGTTTTTCCTTTTAATCTTATACATTTTATTTTATGCATTTAAAATATTATTAAGAGGCATCTATTGGCCTCTACAGTCTTTGGAAGGGGTACATAACACACAAAAGTTTAAGAACTCCTGCTCTAGCTGAATTTGGTTATTATTTTACTAGTTCTATAAAGTAAATCTTTGGTAGTTTAGTATGGTATTGAATACATAAATAAATGTAGGTATCATTGTTATTTTTATTTTCAAATTTATTTAGTATTTTATTTTTCCCCAATTATATGTAAAAACAGTTTTTAACATTAGTTTTTTAAAACTTTGAGTTCCAAATTATCTTTCTTCATCCCTCCCCAACCCCCCTCATCGAGAAGGCAAGCGATTTGATATAGGTTATACATGTGTACTTATGCAAAGCATTTCCGTATTAGTCATAGTGTGAAGGAAAACAGACCAAAAAAAAACCCTCAAGAAAAATAAAGTAAAATAAGTATGCTTCAATCTGTATTTGGACATCATTAGTTCTTTATCTGGGGATGGATAGCATTTCTCATCGTAAGTCCTTCAGAGTTGTCTTGAATCACTGTATTACTGAAAATAGTTGTCATTCACAGCTGATCATCTTACAATATTGCTGTTACTTTGTACACAGTACATTTCACTTTGTATCAGCTCATGTAAGTCTTTTCAGGTTTTTCAGAGAGCATACTGCTCATCATTTTTTTTTTTTCAATGTTGGAGGTAATGGGGGTTAAGTGACTTGCCTGGGGTCACTCATGTAGCTAGTCAGTATCTGAGGCTGGATTTGAACTCAGGTCCTCCTGACTCCAGGGCCAGTGCTCTATCCACTGCGCCACCTAGTTGCCCCCCTACTCATCATTTCTGATAGACAATAGTATTCCATCATAATCACATACCAATTTGGTCAGCCATTCCCCAATTAATGAGCATCCCCTCAATTTCCAATTCTTTGCCCCCAGAAAAAAACTGCTATAAATATTTTTTGTAAATATAGGTCCTTTTCCTTTTTTTTAAAATCTCTATTGGGATATAGACCTAGTAGTGGTATTGCTAGGTCACAGGGTATGCATGGTTTTATAACCCTTTGGACGTAGTTTCAAATTGCTCTACAGAATGGTTGCATCAGTTCACAACTCCACCAGCAGTGCATTAATGCCTCATTTTTCCCATATCCCCTTCAACATTTGTTATTTTCCTTTTCTGTCCTATTAAGGCAATCTGATAGGTTTGAGGTAGTAACTCAGAATTGCTTTAATTTGCATTTTTCCAATCAGTAGTGAGTTAGAGCATTTTTATATGACTATAAATAGCTTCAGTTACTTTATCTGAAAACTGTTCATACCTTTTGATCATTTATCAAGTGGCAAATGGCTCTTATTTTTATAAATTTGGCTCAGTTCTCTATTTGTTTGAAAAATGAAGCCTTTATCAGAGAAACTTGCTTCAAAAAATTTTTGTAGTTACTATTGCTAACTGTATTTCCCTTCATCCTGTTCCCCCCTCCTCGTTTATTCTCTTCTTCATCTCCTTTCATCTTGTTCTTCCTCAAAAGTGTTTTGCTTCTGACTACCCCCTCCCCCAATCTGCCCTCTATCTGCCTTCTATCACTCCCATGGGAATTGCATTTCTCAAATGATTTCTCAACATCTGTTGATATAATCATGCAATTCTTGATATCTTATCATTAATATTCATAGTTATCACTATAGTTTTCCTAATATTAAACCAAGTCTTCATTCATGGCATAAATCCAACCTGGTCATAGTATATTACCTTTTTGATATGTTGCTGTAGCCTCTTTGCTGATATAACATTTAGCATTTTTGTGTTGGTCAATATATTTTTTTTTTCTGTTTTGAACTCTTCTTGATTATTTTCTAAAATTTTAAAGTTGAAGTCAATACTAAAACCCCTTGCTCTTCAAACTTCCCACCCCAGTTTCTGTCCCCCCCCCCCCGCCCAAGAAGAGGCCTTTGGCTCCCATTTCCACCTCAGACTCTGTACCACCCCAGCCCACTCCACCAGTCCTTTCCTTTGCTCGAATTTCTGAGGCCGAAGCAGTCACCCTTCCCAAATCCAGCTCCTTGTGTTCTTGATTCCCTCGCCTTAGCTCTTTTCTAAGAGCCTCAGCTCTTTCATTATTCTACTTTTTTAAATAATGTTCAATCATTCCTTCTCCACTAGCTTCCTTTCCCGTTTCCTACAGACACACTTAGGTTTTCCCGATCTTTAAAACCTCTCACTTGATTCTGAAATCTCCTCAAACTCTATAGTCTTAGCTCTCTCTTCTTTTTCACTACCAAACTTCTAGAAAAAAGTGAGCTACAGTTGTTGATTTCACTTCCTTAACTCCCACTGACTCCTCAACCCCTGGCAACATGGCTTCCTGTCTTAACTATTTGGGTCAAACTGTTCTCTCTAAGGTTACTAAACATATTTTTTAAAAGATTTTTTAAAAAATTTTGAACTTGAACACACACAAAAAAGAATTTGATAAAAAACTATAAATCATCATTTTATATCACTTGTTTTTAAGCATGTGATCTTGTTGTACACTTTAAAACGTTTCAATGTCTCTCTTATTTAAAGATAATGTTTTAATTTTTTCATAACATTTTATTTTCCCGCAATTACATGTAAAACTTTTTTTAAGGTTTTAAATTCCATATTCTATCCCTTTCACCCTCTGCCCCCACCTCAAGATGGTATAAGCAATCTGATATAGGTTTTACCTGTGCAATCATGTAAAATATTTCCATATAGTGTGGTGATTAGAAAGTTTTGAGAGATACAGTTTCTGTGTAATTTAATCATTTTATTAATAAGGCCAGCACTTTTATTAATAAAAGGATGGTCATTTGGCTATTTCTCCTACACCAAAGACCTCTCATGACAGTGAGCTCATAATTTACGTGCCCTTCGAAGGGTAGGTATTCCTGAGGGGTACCAATCAACTCTGGTTAACACAATAGGAGGCGGGCTATATTAAAATGAGAGTCTTTAGGGTACTTAACTTGGGTCACCTAAGTGTTTAACTTGATTAAAGAGACATCAATTTCCATATCACCTATCTTGACAAAAGGGAGAATCATCACTTTCCCAGACCTGTCTGAGCAAATCCAATAAGCAAGAATACACCCATTAGCCTAAACTTAGAATTTCTTTTACTGTCTGATTAGATCTTGCCCTGGGTAAATCTTTAAGAGAGATTTCCCACACTGGCTGGTTTCAGGATGTGGAAG